ATAGTATTTACATTGTCCTTATGGGCACTTTCCAATATAAACTAGAACTATGTATTTCTAAAAAATCTGCCATGATTTTTGTTCCCGTCCAAATCGTCAATCTTTCTAATATGAGCTTCTTTAGGGTTCATTTAACATCCCTTTTGAATATCTAACCCTCTCAAATAATTCTTCATCATCTTTGTATCTGCCCTGGTTTACAAGATCTCTGCAGCGTGCATTTTTATCTGGTACACCGTGTATACAACTGACAATACAAAAAAATAGAGTGTAAAAATGGAAGGACAAATTTATTTATTGCTATAGTGTATGACTGGTCGTCTAAAAATAACAACAATAACAAATTAGATAATTCCTAACAGGACAGGCCAAACACTACATTACAAATCTACCAAAACGGTATGATGTCACCGTTTAATTTTTCAAACTAATTAACATATATTTCGAGTTTAATACCGATGAGGAATAATTACATAAACGCGTATGCTGCGACGTTGTCAGTTCTATTCTAATTGCAGTAATTACAAAGATTTTATGCGGAATGATCAACAATGATAGGTGGCAATAAAGGTTTCCAATTTACGGGATCCCGTTTCAAAAAATATCTTATTCTTATGTATGTCTTGTGATTGTTTGAAACCATTTTGAAACCAAGTATACCATGGGTCTATCGATCATACCAAATAAACTTTTAGTCACGTGATTAAGCTTAACCGGCACAGGGTTGCCCGCTTTTACATATTTTCTTTTAATCAAAATATTTTAGAAAACAAAAATAAATTAATTATAAATATATAAACAGTTATTATTTACATCAACAAAACTCACCTTCTTAACAGCACTTAAGGGACATAAAAGGACATTACTACCGCTTTCCCGTTCAAAATATTCTAATAAGATTGCGATGAGTTTTTTACTACGGCTATTAAGCTATCTTGTACACTTCGCACAAAAAAAGGTTCTAAAAAACTAGTGATGGGAATACCGGTTCCACATGAGTCGCGTTACAATAGCGACCGTTCCAGAAAAATACCGCGATTTTGTAACCGAGGTTCCGACTTCCAAAGTGTCGCGGTCCTCGCTAAAAATATATCTAACTTATCTATATTTGTAGATTAATGTAACTTTTATCCGCCACTCATTTTCCAAATATCGAGTTTATAATTGTGTATAGCTAATCTATCTCATTTTTAGAAAAACGATGACATTACTCGTTATTTTCCATCAATTTTCATTTAAATAAAATCAAGGGCTCATATTTATGTGTATTGCAATATAATATATTTAGGTAATGTTAAAATCAAGAACAAAGTCCAAACCACTACCAAAAAAAAATTTATTGGCCTAACCTTCATGTTTCAAACAACGCTATTTTATACCATGCCTAGTACATACCAAAAATCGCCATTTCGAAAGTAACGTAGCGACGGGAGCACCAACGCCAATAGTAATCGACCAAATCGCGACAGGCAAAACCGGAACCCTAGAAGCGCTCCAGCGATTGCTGGAACGAAGTACGTCGTCGCCGCCGAGGTCGAGCGTCGATAGCCAGTTACAGCAGGGACCAGTAACTTCTGTTCGGGACAGACGGAACTATGGCTCTTCGAGCGCGACGGCTGGAGCGAAGTTACGTCGCCGCCGAGGTCGATAATCAGTTACCAGTTACTTCTGTTCGCGACAGGCGGACCTACGGCTCTAGGAGCGCCACGGGTGGCGCTCAACAGTCAAACAACGCTATTTTATACCATGCCTAGTACATACCAAAAATCGCTATTTCCAAAGTAACGTAGCGACGGGAGCACCAACGCCAATAGTAATCGACCAAATCGCGACAGGCAAAACCGGAACCCTAGAAGCGCTCCAGCGATTGCTGGAACGAAGTACGTCGTCGCCGCCGAGGTCGAGCGTCGATAGCCAGTTACAGCAGGGACCAGTAACTTCTGTTCGGGACAGACGGAACTATGGCTCTCCGAGCGCGACGGCTGGAGCGAAGTTACGTCGCCGCCGAGGTCGATAATCAGTTACCAGTTACTTCTGTTCGCGACAGGCGGAACTACGGCTCTAGGAGCGCCACGGGTGGTTCGCTCCAGCCGCGCGACGCTACGTACATACCAGTGCCAGTTACTACTATTGGCGACCGACGAAATCGCGACGGCTGGAACTAAACACATCGCTATGCGGTTACTACGGTTCAAGCTAACTTCAAGAGCGATTATAAATAATTTATTTGCAAATTATAAATAATTTATAATTTTGTCATTATGATCGTCGTTCTTCAGTAACAGGTTCCTGATGTTGTGGAGCGCGACACGACGTTACAAAAAAATACCGCTCCAAAATCGCGTTACTCAAATACCGACACATCACTAAAAAGGACAATGTTCGACTTGCAAAGTCTGCTAGTGAAAAATTTTAAGCTTAAAGTATCACAACACAATTTAATTAAACCAAAAACTCGTAATACAAAACTGAACTGTCAAAACAAATGACAATGTCGGAAAATAAATAAATAAATGTGGCGACTTGACATTTTTTACATTAGAGCTACCACCTGAATCCCCAGCGGGAAATTTAAATTCCACTTAGCTGGACTTTGCTTATATATTTTATCCAAGTAGTAAATTCGTACATAAATCTGGCAACGGCGCAAACTACCATAACCCATATTCCTCGCTCGATCTGCTAAAGGTGAACATGGCCGTTTAGCAGCGCTAACTGTCAACGAGATAGAAATTTATGCGTCTAATAAACCATAAATAATAAAAGTGGGTGAGTCAGAGCGGCGAAGCGGCATGGCGCGTTAAAAAAAGACAGATTTAGCCAAGTCCAGTTCGGTTTTTCTACAAAAACTAGACTGAGGTCAGGCACATATATGCGTTTATATAATATCTCGTAAATGCCAGAGAAATACTTAAGATTGGCTCGGTTAGAAACAGGTTTTGCTTGAAGATGTGCATCTTCAAAAAAAAATTATAAAAGATTATAATATATAGTCTATAAAATGAATAACTTTGAATTTTGACCGTTATTTTTTACCAACATGGCAAATATAAAATCCCTCTGTCAAAAAAGTTACTGATATTCTTTAAATTGAGTGCCTGAACGAATCAGATAGGTAACTCTTTTTACTTTCGTGAAATCGAAAAGGAAAATAATAAAACAAGTGACAGTTCTTCCTCTTTTTGCAAAAATCAACACGAAATGTCATAATTGTCAAAAGTAAAATGTCATCAGCTTTTCACATTTCTAAATATCAGACCAATGCCGTCTCTAATAGAACAGCCTCGGAGCGAGATTTATGACGTCACGCTAGTTAGATACTACGGATTAATAAATATGCTGTAGAATACATGGAAAACATAATAATTATTCCTCGTATTTTTGGTTATCTTGTAGGTTGTATCTATACCTATTTGCATTATCTTATGTACCTATTCATTATTTGTTTATTGTAAATTGTTTGACAAAGAGGTAGATCTACTCCGTATGGGGTAGCCATTACTACTGTTGCGGACCCGTGTGGACTCGACCTAACCTAACTATATGTCCCGCCCTCAGATGACCTTAACACCGCATTAAAGAATAGACACCGTAATGATTCATTCGAACGTTCGAGAAGATAAGAATCGAGTTCCACTGGAATGGAGTAGTACATACGAGAACATTCGAAACCTTCTCTATGCACCTAATGGTCTATGGATTATTCGAGAAACTCTTTAGCTGTGGGTATAAGGAGGACAGAAATAAATAGACGAGTACAGTTGACGCGCTAAATTCAAAACAAATTCTTTCTAGATAAATAGTTATCAATCGTTTGTAAATAGTTCTTTAAGTCTTTTATCGTTATTATTTTTGTTAATTAGTGTTAAATAAATTGTGACTTTCTATCCACACGGAACCGACGAAAAACGTAACACTACTTTTCCTGGTGCTAAGCTCGTGTGTCGAAGGATGATTACAATTAATATAATTACAATTGAATTCAAGACAATGTTAAGTTACAATGATGAAAGTTTTGTAATAAAAATTTTAAGAACTTTATATTTCTTTGTATGTAATGTTAATTACATAATATATATTTTCTCAAATATTGATATTCGCAAAAAATTTGCGAATGCGACTATTCGTTATATCACTAAGGGTGTATTCCGTTGCTTACCTTGGTTATGGTTTTATGTTCCGTTTCTATCGGTTTCCTGAAAGTTATTTTATTACGGAACACGGTTCCTGAAAAATTCGGTTATAACTGTCACCAAATTAACCAGCGCGAGAAGGCTGGTTTTGTTTGTCAATCAATGTCATTTATGCGACAGAAATCAAGCAAATATTGGAAGTGCGAGTGAAATTCTCATTTTATTTCTAAAATGTGTACTAATATTTTGTATTTACATCCAAAAGCAATGGAGGTAGGCAGTAAAGGTAAATAAATTTCATTAACAAAATAGAATGACTTTTTAGGACCATTTAAACTTATCATGCAGCCATTGTTTCTTAAAGTCAGGAACATTTAAAGAAAACATGAAAAACAAGACAACAAGTAATCGTGAATGTTTTGTTAGCTATAAAAATATAAATATTGATTAGATTTGTTTATTTATTATTGATCTGTTTTAATATTGGACCTGCAAATCTTCACTTGAGCTGTCTAACGAGTTTAACAGTTTATTAATAAAGTACTTCTTAATATTAAACTCAACTGAAAAGAAGAAGCAAACGTAAAAGCAGAGAATAGGTAAATTAAAAATGCATAAAAGATGAATTTTACAATAGAGGTACAGAAATTTATAAAACGTCAACTTTTGACGTTTTCAGTATTTTACCAAACCGTTCCGTATCAAACCGATGTTTTTCAGGAACCGCTCTTTACCGTAGTTTACCGGTCTGGTTCGCCTGCTTTTGCAACGGAATACAGCCTAAATATGACACTTTCAATATTTTAAAACGTCAGTAACGTTAACATTACATATAGGTGGTTGTAAATAAAAGTATGCCGTACGTACCTGGAGTACTTTCCCGCTGATATACCGGTTGCAATAGGCACACTTCACCCCGAACTGCTTCTGGTAGTCCCTCTCGCAGTACGGTACCCCGTCCTTGCCCATGTATTCCCCGTGCAACACCGTACTGCACGAGTGACACTTGAAGCACCAAATGTGCCAGCTCTTGTCTAAGGCCACCAAAACCTGCCCTTCCTTAAGGTCCTCCCTACACCCCGCGCATTCTGGAAGAAGAGAAAAGAAAGAAATTGTTAATGCTTAAATTTCGTTATCTATCTCTACAAAAAATCCTATATGGGTATTTCGCCACTGCAAGAAAATCTACAAAATAAAATAGTTATTTTTTGTAACTATTTCTGCGTTAACCCAAACGGGAACTACTTGTCAGAAGTGTTCTCGAATAGTTGAATTTAAATATTTTAAATAGTTTTTTTCTTTATTCTTTGCATTTTTTTTGCTTTAAATAAAAGCAAAAAAAAAATAAAAAAAGCAGTGTATTTTTTTTGCTGTAAATATATTTATTATAATAATATAATAATAAATATATTTATACTTTTTTAAAAATCACTTTTTCACAAAAAAATAAAGAATGGACAAACATTTCAATTGAACTTTCAATCCAACGCACATAAAAAAACTATTTTTCGTATTTTTAATTGGTTTTTTAATTACCAAAAAAATTTCATAATTTTTATTTGCCTCAACTGACGCAAGTAGATAAAAATGTTATCTATAAATTATTATTAATGACTCTAGATAATTAAAAAAAAATAAACGTACTTTTTTTTCACTACAACAAACTAAATCTAGCAAAAAAATATATTTGCAACAGTCCTAAATACCACGCGAAATCGTTTTTTTACTGTAATTTAGTACACTTAAATTATTAGAAAAAATTACACCACCACCATACAAAAGTTAACTAAACACATACGGAAATTACACAAGAATGCAGTCACTGTTCCATTCAATAGGTATAACTATCAAAACGTGTATTACACAAATAAGAAAAACTTTTTAAAAAATATTACTAGTTATTATAAATAATATAGTATTAAGATAATGAGGGGGCTAAGCTAGATAAGATTAGTACAAAAATGTTCTATGTTAACTAACTTTTCTGATTGTCATTTAAACATTACAACAGCCAAAAAAATAATCACATGACAATGATTAGCATCTCTATGTAGAACAATAAAATTATTAAGATTTCATCACACTTTTCTTGATCATTGACATTTTATAGAGACAGATGTATATTCTAATCATTTTAAAAGATTTGTCTTAATCAACCAAGAGATTTTTTATCTAAAAAGTAATTTAAAATATTTTTAACCTAATTTTTAATCAAATAAAGTGTATAACTATATTCGATACCAAATAAACTTTTAGTTACGTCGTTAAATCGAGAGCGCGATTTTTAAAATAATTGTTGCCAATCACGGACTATTCGACGCCGGCGCCGGGCTGACTAACTGGAATTTAAATTTCCTGCTAGGAATTCAAGTGGTAGCTCTGCTGTAAAAAAATGTCAATAAAGCTGCCACATTTATTTATTTCCTGACACTGTCATTCATTTTGACACTTTAGTAGTGTTACGAGTTTTTGATTTAAATAGATCTTGTTGTAGTGATGTGTCGGTATTTGAGTAACGCGATTTTGGAGCGGTATTTTCTTGTAACGTCCGTCGTGTCGCGCTCCACAACGAATGAGGAACCTGTTATTGAAGAACGACGATCATAATGACAACAAAATTATAAATTATTTATAATTTGCAAATCAATTATTTTTAAAATCTCTTGAAGTTAGCTCGAACCGTAGTAACCGCATAGCGACGTGTTTAGCTCCAGCCGTCGCGATTTTGTCGGTGGCCAACAGTAGTAACTGGAACTGGTATGTACGTAGCGTCGCGCGATCTCGATCGCGACGTGTTTGCTCCAGCCGTCGCGCTCCTAGAGTCGTAGTTCCGTCTGTCGCGAACAGAAGTTACTGGTAACTGCTGTAACTGGTTATCGACGCTCGACCTCGGCGGGGCGGAGATGTACTTCGCTCCAGCCGTCGCGTCGCGATCCTAGAGTCCGTAGTTCCGTCTGTCGCAAACAGAAGTAACTGGTAACTGCTGTAACTGGTTATCGACGCTCGACCTCGGCGGCGACGAACTTCCTTCCAGCAGTCGCTGTAGCGCTTCTAGGGTTCAGGTTTTGCCTGTCGCGATTTGGTCGGTTACTATTGGCGTTGGTGCTCCCGTCGCGTCGCTACGTTACTTTCGAAATAGCGATTTTTGGTATGTACTTTATTGGAAATAAATATATTTTAGGGAAATTCTCTATCTCCAGTATCAGTTGTGCCTAAGTTTATGACAGGAATGGTTGTAACAGCTGGTACAATTGTAAGAACCTGACAACTCTGATTGGGAGTAGGTAGGTACTAATGCCAGAAGTACTGTATAAGCGAGGACCGCGACACTTTGGAAGTCCGAACCTCGGTTACAAAATCGCGGTATTTTTCTGGAACGGTCGCTATTGTAACGCGACTCATGTGGAACCGGTATTCCCATCACTATCGTGTTGTGATACTTATGTATCTTATGTCCCTTAAGTGGTGTTAAGGAGGTGAGTTTTGTCGATGAAAATAATAATAACCGTTTATATATTTATAATTAATTTATTTTTGTTTCCTAAAATATTTTGCTTAAAAGAAAATATGTAAAAGTGGGCAACGCTGTGCCGGTCAAGCTTAATCACGTGACTAAAAGTAAAAGGTATGATCTATACATAATATGTATTTATCCTAAGTTTGATTTTCTTGGGATTTAGGTTCGGGAAAATGCTGATTAGGTTTTCATTTGATTTAAATATCTTTACTTGGTTTTAAAAAACAAACGTTTCAGCTAACATTATAGCCTTCATCTGTGTTACGTCATAACAAAAACAGTGTCGTTGTCAGGGCCGTTCCTGGCGAGCGTGCAGTGCGTGCACGCACGTAGGCGCAACATTTTGGGGGCGCAAAATCGAAGTGTCAATCAGTACTTTGTAACAAAAAACCGATACGCTTTCTTGCCAATAAACAAATATAACATAGGATAAAGTTTGCTTAGCGTCTTGGCGTTGGCCGTACCGAATAAACAAGTCTAGGGCAATCTCTAGTCAGCAACATATTGATCTCATCTATTTATTTTTCATTTTATTGATTTTATGAAAAGCACTGTTCATTAAAATGTTGTATCCTATGTTATAGAGCTTGTTTCTCTCTACAATTTCCTGTCTCACAATGTACCGTTTGTGTCGGGGAAGGGATCATCGTTTTATAGTTGTCGATTTTCGAAAGAAATCAGTACATCTATTATTACAGTTGAGGGTTGGAACCTTTGGTGTTACACAGCAAAATAAAAACACTAAATCACCACAATACACCAAAACACTTTTACTTTTACACTGGACGCGCGTTTCGCTAACCATGTTAGCATCATCAGCAGATGATTATAAACTTTTGCTGATGATGCTAACATGGTTAGCGAAACGCGCGTCCAGTGTAAAAGTAAAAGTGTTTTGGTGTATTGTGGTGATTTAGTGTTTTTATTTTGCAGTACATCTATATTATTTCGTATATTTTTCATTTTATGGATTTTATGGAAAGCACTGTTCATTAAAATGTTGTATCCTATGTTATAGAGCTTGTTTCTCTCTACAATTTCCTGTCTCACAATGTACCGTTTGTGTCATTGGAAGGGATCATAGTTTCATAGTTGTCTATTTTCGAAAGAAATCAGTACATGTATATTATTTCCGATTTTTAGTTTATTGTTTTTTATATATTTCATTTAAAACGCGTCAGTTTTTTTCTCGAGTACTATTTTTGTTACTAAATATTTTTGTGGTTTTGTTTGTTTTATTTATTTAATAAATGTTTTTATACTTTAATTAAAATAGTTTTTTTACATTTCCAATTACATATTGCTCGTTTGTCGCAGAATATAAATTCTTTAAATTTTGGAAATAATTGATTTAAATACAAAATGGGCGCACCAAAGAAGGAACGGGCCTGGTCGTTGTATGTTAATATCCAAAATTACATTTAAAACTTATCACAGCACACATAACATAATGTTCATTACAATTAATCAGACAATATAAATTTGTCAAATATCGTAGAGTACGAGTTCAGCCATAAACAATGTTAATAAATTTCGGGTCACGAATAATAACTTTATAAAATATTATGTGGTTTAATCATTTGAATATTTAGAAACAAGGTTCAAGAACTTCTTATTTTTGATTAAGTTAGTTACTTACCATTTGGACTGGGACTAGTGGCAGATGGACTGGTTTTTGGCGTGGCATTTCTAATAGGTATTTGTACGCATTTCTGGCAGAGCACCTCCTTTCCAGTATACGTCACTTTCTCTCCAGAGGGGAATGCTTGTCTGCAGCGGGCACACGTGAAACATTTCTGATGGTAGGTTTTTCCTAAGGCAGTGACAACCTGAAAATTCAATTGAATTTAAAAAGGGTTTGAAAAACATGTCTAAAAAAGTGACATATAATGCTGTTTCAATATACATATTATTTTCAATTTATTTCTGTAATATGTAGATTTTCTGTTTCCCCAATAGCCTGCAAATTTTGTGGAATACCACCCAAAATACACACTTTTATACAAATGCCTAATAAATAATAATGTTAACGCCCCTTAAAATTGATTTAAGAAGAGAAGAAATTTTGAACCTAACCAACAATTCGTGTAGTCTGTTTTTTAGCCGACCATACCCAAGCACTGTATATATTCTAAAGGACTGTTCGATCGCATCAAATCGCCGCTGTCGTTGTCGCCGTGGAATGCTACGTCACGCGCTGACCAGCGCTCCACAGTGCGGCGGATGGTTATTCTAGCGGGACAAAATCTCAAGAGCAATGTTTGGGACTTAAAATCTAAGAACGTAGCAAATGGTTTAATATACAGCAACTATATGGTTAAATTTATTTATTTATTAACAACTTAATTTATTAATAAATAAATACAAGATAATAAAACTATGATATTATTCGTACATGACACACAAAAACCGTATTGTAAACTATTGCCAAATACATAAAATTATGATATCAAAAAACTCTTTAGCAGTTTTTTTTAAATTAATTTGTAATCTTGTGACACCCTCTATAATTTATTTTAAAAAAATATATTTTATTTTGAAAATAATAAATAAGATAGATATTTTAATTTTAATTTTAACACTCGGTAATTGTAAATTCATATATTAAGTATCTAAGACAATTTTTTAAACTCAGTGCCTTTTGATGGAGTTGTTTTGTTTTTATACTATCCGATTGAAATGAATCTTTTTGGGCATTCACCTGTTAAGCTTGAACTCCCTGTGACTGCGACTACCTGTGTTGGTAACTATTGGTAACTCAAAAGATCTACATCATTCAATATATCGATATTTGAAAAAAAAGTGTAAGTTTGATATCTGCAGAACAAAGGCACGAAGGATTTTAACAAATAATATACATACAGTAGAAAAGTACATACCTTTGGCAATCTTCAACATAATTTGGCTTTCTAATAAAATGTATAAGCATTTGTAAATATTTTGTTTTCGTATGATCTCTGCCTTGCTGAGCAGAAAACGACCAAATTTGGTTGATAAAAATGTATCGAAATACAAAGAATATTCATGCATTTTTGTATCAATTGGAATGTCTACTATTTATTCTTATCAGTACACATTTTTTGGCTTATTTCTAACCAAACGCTTTTGTCCCGCTAAATTTATCTTCCAACGCACTGTGCGCTCGTCCGTCAAATGCAAAAATAACTGTCACTATCTAAAATCTTTAGCGCCAACTTCAAATCGGTCAGTAGATGACGTAAAAAAACTGACAGTGCAGGAAGATAGGAATCGAACTATCCTTATCTCTATAGTATCCCTGGACCATACCAATAGGTATGGTAGGCTATTAGGATCGGCAAAAAAAAGTTTTTTTAATTTCACTCAAAATGAGTTGTTTGGGTCATAAATGACCTAAATACAAAATATTTTCATGGTGTCTGTCTGTCTGTCTGTCTGTCCGTCTGTAACACGATAACTCAAAAACCGCTGAACCAATTTTAACCAAATTTGGCACAAAAATACTGTGGCACCCGAGAATCTGGCCATTAGTTTTGGTGGGGGGTGGGGGGTTGGTAGGGGGTATGGGAGGGGTTAAAAATTTTAAAAAATCGTAACTCCAAAATTACAGTAGCTAGCGAAACGCGGTTTTCAAATTAAGATTAGGAATAATATTTGCAACAAAATTTGTAATAACATCCAAATCAATCAAAGTCGCAGTTTTCGAGATATTAACATATTTTAGTATGGGTGGCTATACGTGCCTCCCGGCGCCAATTTTTTTACGTGTTTTGGTCATTATTTATAGTACTGAAGCTGTGGTTGGTTCCTTGTGAAACATCGTTGAAATATTAGTATTTTAATAAAGCACGCTTTTAGATGTTTCAAAAAACTTTTAATAAGAGTAACTTTAACTCTACATATATGTTTCGGCTTATTAGACCTTTTTCAAGTTCTTAAAAAACTCTTGAAAAAGGCCTAATAAGCCGAAACATATATGTAGAGTTAAAGTTACTCTTATTAAAAGTTTTTTGAAACATCTAAAAGCGTGCTTTATTAAAATACTAATATTATTTATAGTGTTTTACAGTAATTTTAATAAAAGATTTTCTAATTTTCTCTTGATTTTTTTGGAGGGGCATTGACCATTTGACCTCATGGTTAAGCCGCCAGATATAAACTGTGCTTACCTCTCCTTCTACGTAGTCTCCACATTCGGCACATCTCGTACCAAAATTCCTCTGGTAATCCGCTGTACAATAGTACGCCGATTCCTTGCTGAAAAACCCGCCTTGGGCTAGAGACGAACCGCAAGCCTTGCACTTGAAGCAGCTAGTGTGGAAGTACTTGTCCTGGACTCTGAGTACCTCGCCGGAGCATTTCTTCTTGCAGGCCTGGCAGTAAGTTTTGCCTGAAAAAGAAAAAATATAATTAGTACTTGTCTCTTTCTTAACAAAAATTCTGTTGGTATTCTTGGAAAAAAAATTATGCCAAAAAGTATACTATTTTTATTAAGGGTCCGTACCCAAAGGGTAAAAACGGGAACGGGACTAAGACTTCGCTGTCCGTCCGTCCGTCACAGAGGCACAAATTACCTATAACAGATGCGAAAGAAAGCGACTGCATCGGAAACCGCTCGGCAAACCCCACACGCCTATTGAGTGGTGTAAATACACCAGTCGTTTAGTCCGGAAACCTATGCTGTGTCGTATTCGCTTGCTGGAATGACATAGTGCGTGGTTATATGTTTCTTTTTAAAAACGGGTGTAGGATTTTTGTTGAACTTTTGAACTGTTATTTCTAAGTTTTGGTAATTTGTATATCTTATTTAAAATGGGATACAAATGTATTTATTTATAAGGAAAAAAAGATATTTATAGTATAAAAAATTAATTTATTTAACAAAATTTAATTACAAATGTGACAAAATAGTACCATTCTATTGGTTCTATCGGACTTTTTTCGACTATATAAATCTTTATTTGTAAACTTTAATACATCAAATATTTTCAATCTAATAAATCATTTAATGATGTAAATAAGAGGAAATTTCTCACATGGGTGGTCAAAGTTTTCATTATATCAAACAGCCTCTGAGAAATGTTTTCAACTCAAAATGCCTTTAATTATGTTTGACTACATCAATTAAAAGGGTCTTCAAATACATCAATGTGATATTTGTCTAAAATTTGCAAAAGAATCCGAATCTCTGGATAACTCGAAATTATTTACCCATTTAAAAGCCTTTGATCATGAAGGTGGAAAAATTAGTTCATTTTATTTACTGGAAATGGAAAAATTATTTATATTAAATTTTGATGAGTTTTGCACTGAAGAAAACATTCAGAGGCTGTTTGATATAATGAAAACTATAGAATTTGACTACCTATGTGAGAAATTTCCTCTTATTTACATCATTAAATTATTTATTAGATTGAAAATATTTTATGCATTAAAGTTTACAAAAAATAAAGATTTATATAGTCGAAAAAAGTCCGATAGAACCAATAGAAAAGTAACTATTTTGTCACATCTTTAATTAAATTTTGTTAAATAAATTAATTTTTTATACTATAAATATCTTTTTTTTTCCTAATCTCCTACGAACTGATATAATATGACAAGCAATCTATTAAATTACTGTGAGATTATATGCCTCGATAACATATTGGTGCAGATTATTTTCACCCAAACAAATAATAACCCAAACTATACATTGATGCGGATTGTCTATGAACTCTTTCTGAAGGTCACAGAAACCTGAACGCGTAATTCGGTGTTCTTTCGCATCTGTTGTAGTTAATTTGTGGCTATGACGTTGGAGCCGTAGTAAGGCAGGTTCGAATCCTAGTCAAGGCGACTTTTTTTAAACGTTTTTTTTTAATTTTTATATATTTTTACATATTTATTTTTACTTTTTACATATTTATTATTGATTAATACAATTTTTAGTAATGTGTTTCTTCATTTTTTTTTAATTATACTCGCATTCAAAATTTCAGCTAAAAAGTTTATAATAATATAGTGTCTATTGTATAGATAATGAATGGTACGGAACCCTTCGTGCGCAAGTCCGACTCGTACTTTACCAATTTTTTACTCTCTATATCGCAAATATTATCTGAAATTTTCCAAATCTATTTATAAAACTGTTGAACCCAAAAAAAAATCCATTATTACGTAATTCTCACCATATTCAAGGCCATCGCAACAACATAACATAAATTGATACGTATTTCTACACGTATGCTATGTACTTACGTGTATGTATGTATGTTAAATTCACATTTTATCGAATAAGATTATGTAAATATTTGGTTTGCCGCTAGCCGGCGAACAATAATAGAATCAACAAATACAAACGACCTGTTTTACCATCATTTATCTCCTAGAATGATCGTGTTATACCCTGTTATACAATGCCAGTCTTTGTAACCAGTCGCATAAAATCATTAGCACATAATAAATACCTACTTTAAGTGTACAGTGCGTGCTAATATTAAGTCTGGTAAACTTAGGGAATTGAAAAACATAAATTTGCGTTTATGTCAAATTTTTTATAGTGTGTTAAAAAATTTTTTTCGGTAAATATTATCATTTGTCAGTGAGACTGCTCAAACCACTCAACGTAAGAAGCTCAATTTTGGCATACAGGTTGATTCTAGGCTGTAGAGGTTCGATAAGAAGCGATTTTTCGAAATTCCAGTTCCAAGAGGGTGAAACCACCCCTCAAATATTACAATATTTTTTATTTAAAAAACGGTCAAGTTTCCGAAAAAACGCTTAAACAGGTATATTTTATTTTGTTTTTTTACATATTTTAAGATTTTTTAAAAATGTATACAGGGTGTTTCGAAAAATCTGGTCATTGATTAATCACGATCCTTCTTAAAGCGCTTGACGTAAAAAGCTGATTTTTGGAAAACAGATTGACTTTAGGGTGTAGAGGTTCGATAAGAAGGGATTTTTCGAAATTCGAATTCTAAGGGGGTGAAACCACCCCTCAAAAATTTGAATATTTTTTTATTTAAAAACCGGTGAGTTTTTCGGAAAAACTCTTAAACACATATATTTTATTTTGTAGTTTTACATATTTTAAGATTTTTTATAAATTTATACAGGGTGTTTCATAAAATATGACCATTGAGGAATCACGATTCTGCTTAAACTGCTTGACGTTTAAAGCTGATTTTTGGCAAACGGATTGACTGTGGGGTGTAGAGGTTCGATAAGGAGGGGTCTCTCGAATCTCAAATTCCAAGAGGGTGAAAACGCTCCTCAAATATTACATTATTTGTTATTTAAAAAACGGTTAGTTTTCGGGAAAACGCTTGGACAAACATAATTTATTTGGGTTTTTTTACATATTTTGAAATTTTTTAAAAAATCATACAGGGTGTTCCAAAAAGTTGGGTAATTTCTTAACCACGGTTCTGCTTAAACTGCTTGACGTAAAAAGCTTATTTTTGGCAAACGGATTTTTCGAAAGTCCAACGAGATGAAACTACCTCTCAAATATTACCAAGTAATATAATAATATCGCCATATTGTTCTTTCTCATGCTGACATAAATGTGAGAAAATTTTATCCAGTTTGTATGTTAATGAAAATTCTTGCTTTGCTTTATCATCACCATTACAAATGATTAATTCGACGCGAACGAAGTCGCTGGTACACACTAGTAATATATAAATTAGTTACAATAAATATATATGATATAATCAGAGACAACATATTTAATGTACACAAATACCTTGTGGATACACTATCAGAGGATGGTAAGAAGTCTCTCATGTCTTCAGATGAGGAGGGTAAAATAATACATAAATAATCGAGGTTACCACAGAACTAAAATTCCAATCTGTTTAACATTTTTTAGCAAAAAAATAGAAAAAGTAATGGAAAAAAAACAGAAGGTCCGAAAACAGAATGAAGAAAAACAGAAGTCTTCCATAACTGTTAAAACACATAGCAATTATTTAAAAGATCTCCTATTAATCCAACAGTATAATTTCTACGCCACTGGAACATAAATCACAAACAATGAAAAAAGAAAAATAGATCACTTCGCGCTTGATTGGCGCGTCTCACAGTTCCTGGCGATTTAGGACAGACAGCTGCTATTTCTGTCATGACGTTTTTACGAGGTGCGTGTAAGGTGAAATAAAATGAGAGGAGGAGCGAAGTAAGGAAGGAATAAGTATATTTCCGCATTTTTCTTTCGGCCATCAACGTCGGGTAATAGCAAAGTAAACATCTTTATTTAATGGAGTGTTTTCTATTCTTGGTTGTGTAACATTGAACGGAAATAGGAAGATTTTCTTTTTGGAGTTGTGATGAAATAATACACTTTCATTTAAATAAATACTATTTAAATAAAGCTGTTCCAATGATAAAGGGAGCGACATTATTGGTATAAACAATCATCGATTTAGTTTTCCTAATATTGATCTTAAGACTTTTCTTAAGGCAATTTTAAGGCAATTTAGAAGAATCTTAAGGCAATTTTAGCTTCATTTGATAAGTCAAGTATAGTTTTGATATGGTTTTGATGCCATATCCACGCTTTAAAAAAAAATCTCATGACAACCGGCAATTTTTCGTGCTGTCTTTTTTAACCATTATACATAGTCCGGCAATAGTGCGTCGGGCGTCTGTAGATCCTAGAATAAAGAACTTGAGAATTTTGTTTAAGTGCCAAATAACCTAAAGTATGTACAAGAATGTATTTCAGGAAAATATATTAAGTTGTATAGGGTGGCTCAAAAAAAGTGTAAGTGGATCAGGATTATTTTTTTTAATGGAACACCCTGTGTATTATTGCATTTTTTGTTTCCCTTCCGATCACTCTACATGATTCTAAGATATGAGTAAATATATTTCGATAGTTTCAGAGATATTAGTAAGTAAATAAAAAATATACAGGTTGTTAATTTGTTCATTACTCGCGGCAAGAGCTTTATGGTTGAAATATGGCAACCTCGGCCCGCTCGTCGATAGACGACGCGACGGGACGAGTCGGTAGAAAAATCAATAATGCATGCGTTCTCAATAGGCAGTGTTGCCATTCTGTTCCCCTATAAGTAACTGTCGAGTTAACAACCTGTATATATTTTTTAGCCTTTCTTAAAAAAAAATATTAAAAATACAAGAACTGTCCTGAAATCAAAACTGTATTAGGTATTTACTTTAGATGATCTGTACTTACTTTGCTATGAATATGGTAATCTTAAATCATACAGAACGTTCAAAATTCTACGCCAAACTTTCTAAAATATAAAATAATTTTTCTTAGTTTTTTTTTTAAATAGAACACGGTATATATTATTTTTTATTAGATGGAGAGTTAAAAAATTAACATTTTTTGTATTTAAAGTATTTCAAAATTTTTAGTGGTTTCGCAGACACACTCATTATTATTTCATATGGCTCTTTCAACTTTCAACGGTAAAATACGAGAGAAAAATCAATGGGTGGCTTTGATAAATGAAATATAAAACCGCTAATATCTGCGATACCATTACAAATTTTGAAATACTTTAAATACAAAAAATGTTCATTTTTTAATTCTCCATCTATTGAAAAAATAATATACAGAGTGATCCATTTAAAAAAACGAAAAAAAATATTATATTTTAGCATTTGAACGTCCTGTATGATGTACCATTACCATATTTATAGCAAAGTTAAGTACAGACCATCTAAAGTAAATACCTAATAATTTTTAAATTCCAGGAGAGTTCTTGTATTTTTAATATCTTTAAGAAAGGATGAACATTTTTTTTTATTTATTTATTAATATCTCTGAAACTATCGAAATATATTTACTCATATCTTAGAATCATATAAAATGATCTGAAAGGAAGACAAAAATGCAATAATATACAGGGTGTTCTATTTAAAGAAAATCATCACGGTCCACTCACACTTTTTTGGGCCACCCTATAGAAGTTAAAATATTTTCCTGAAGTACATCCTAGTACATACTTTAAGATTGCACTTATACAAAATTTCTAAGTTGTTTATAAGAGCTACAGATATCCGACGCACTATTGCCGGACCCTGTATAAGGTTATAAGAAGTGTCAATCGAATTTTTATAAATTACTAAATTTAAAGTAATTTTGGTATCGTTTATAAAAAAATGTATAGCCAAAGCGAAAAGTGTGATTGATAGCCTCTACATATTTTAATTTTGGCCGCCGTATTGTTGTTCCCCCACTGTGCCAGGAAATTCCTAATTACGTTCTAACATTTACCTCCTCAATTAACCCCAATTAGATTAAACGGAATTAAAAACTCCGACATTGACGCTGACCTACGGACCTTTTGCCCACTTTTCCCATCGACGTGGAAAACATAAATGGAAATATAATGAATGATATTTCGATATAAATGATTGGAATTGAAGTTAAACAGGTGGAACGCCTATATCAAGTACCAAGGAAGCGTAGTAAAAATGGCGAAAGGAAATTCTTCGCTTTAAATGGAATCAAATAATTGAGTTTTATTACAAAAAATAATTATTTAATAGTTCTCAGTAGTAAACCTACAAGAAAATTAATTTTATGATTCTACTGTAAATTGACTCTTAATGTCATGAGAACATTGCTTGGTATACCGATCTGGTCACTGAAACTGCATGGTCTGGATTTTAACGTGTAAGACAGTGATGTAGACAGCTTAACGGAAAATCCAAATGTATTAAAAAGAGATAAAAGAGTTTGCAAAATTACCGCACAAGTAGGCGTTTATGAAAAGTGTTGCATCTAGCGTTGAAACTTTATTTTTCACAATTAGTTACTCATTTTACTACAGGCTGTAATAGAGTATATTTAGCTTAGATATATTATCTTAGTTTCATGTAGTATACTTGAAAGTTTTTAAAATAGTTTATTTTTTTCTACGCATATTTTCCTACAAACGTAAAAACCGGCAACACTGTATGCCCCATTTTATTTTGTCTCTCTGTCCGTCAACCGATCATTTATATTTATCTCTGTCGCCATGCATTAAAATTTAAATAACAGACAAGGCAGATGAAGTGGCCAGGGCTAGTATACAGGAATACAGGGTGAGCTAAAACGCTACAGCTGTTTCAATTACCGGAACGACCCTGTATTTTATACACGGTTTCCACCTGAGTAATAAAAGAGAGTACAAATGACGTCTAGAGACCGACCTCGGCAAAATTATTATCGATTTGTCATTCCCCAGCCGTAATTTCTAGAAAAAATTGTTGTTTCCATTATTACCTTTCTTGATTTTCTCCTGGAACTTTTTCTCAGCTCTCAGCCTTTCCTTTTCCAACCTCAGCAGCTTCTTCTTGTCCAGTGGCGGCGGTTTGCTTTCCACCGCGCCCGATTTTTCCGACAAAATCAACTGATCCGACGCCACTTTACCGTCTATTTTCAACGAGTTCCTTTTACTTTTATTCTTCATTTTCACGCAAACTTTTCTTTAATTATATTTCGTTGGATATTTCTATATTTTAATATTCACACTGTAATTATTAGTAGTCGGAACTATCGTATGCAATTCATTCGAATAATTCGATAGTAAGAAAACATTCGTTGAAAACTATTCGAATAAAAATTATCGAATAGATCCGTCATCTGCCTTGAAATATTGTATTCTAGTAATTCGGCAGCAAAAACCATTCATTTATAAAATTCATTCATTTATGAAATTCATTTATTCGTCAGGATCGATTATAATAAAATATTAACTGAATTTTAGTTGTCGCCCGGCGACGTAGGTTTCTTTCCGAGAAACCCGACAGCGGTCGGTGGCAATGCTATGAAAGAAGCCGGCATCTTTGATTTTGCGGAGTCAGATATAGACAAGGACACAATATTTTTTTTATTGAGGTGCTAGTATTTACACAGAAAATACATTATGAAGGGCGCTGTTGCATATTTTGGTATTAAGTTGATATTAGCAAAGAATATTATTGTTTGGCTTTAGTTAGTTAGGGATAGTATGTCTATATATTCTGCATTTTTTATTAATATTCTGTTGTTACACTGCAATAATACTTGTTATTGGATTTAAGAAAATGATTTTTAATGTTTTTAAGCAAAGACTGGTTTAATAAATAATAATAACAGCAATAATTTGTTATACCTATTAACAACAAAATTTAAAATGATTTAATATAAATATTTTTTTTTAGTAGTAGCAAAATATAAACAACAAATTAGATGTCAAAATTATTTATATTAGATCCTATTTAAAAATAATATAGTCTCTAAATTTTTTGGCAACGTTGGTTTATTAAATAATAATAATTACAGAACTAATTTGTTATATTAACAACAAATTTTAAAATCATGAAATATAAACATTTATTAATTTTCTAAGCATGCAGTGTAATGGAACAAAATATAAATAAAAAATTAGAAATCAAAATTATTTATATTAGGTGCTTTATATTACTATTTAAAAATTATATTTACTTTTACTGGCATTTACTTTAAAAAATAAATGAAATATTTCTTCGCAAAAAACTACATGTAAGAGAATTAGCATAAACAAAATACAAACATCGTTAACTTTTTTTTTAAATTGGCACGTGTAAAACTTTCATTTTAATTTTCTCACCCCATAGTTTGAGTTCGATAACCATTTACTTAACCACATTACTTAAATATGATTATTAAGTTCAACTAATTCATATTATTAAAACATCTAAAATACAAATATGTATTTTTAAAATTAATTGTAAGTTCATCTCATCTCTCTTAAAAATTGCTACTTCTCAAAATTTCCCATTAAAAAATAGACCATATACCATATAAAATTAAATAATTGAAAGATCGGACTACGGAAAACCACACAAATTTTCGGAAAAATTTTGACCACCTGCACATGCACACAATCGTCAATAAATAAAATTAAAAAATAACTACTATTTTAGTATTTTAACTATTTTAATAAACGCAAAAATAGCACAGTATTTATACGGCGAAGTTATAAAAATTTGGAAGAACTAATAATGCACTGACGCATACAAAAATCAAACGAATACTAAATTTCATTTATCAAAAGCATTCGATAGTCGTGGCGCAACGATAACCATTTGGTCGCACGGCGAGGTTGTCACATATGCTTTAGTATACAAATGAATGAATGATTTTATTCGAATAAAACCATTCGATAGTTGAAAGCATTCATTCATTAACCATTCGATAGTCTAATTCATTCGATAGTTCCCATCGCTAGTAATTATTATATTTTTTATATATTTTAAAATATCTCAGTTCTAAGCAAATGAGGAAAAAATATTACTATTGTTATTAAAAAGACTGAAAAAATATGGAAATTGCAAATGAATGGTTTATTTTGCTAATATTTGTTATAAATTTTTTTGCCGTTGCGTTCTTTTTTGCATCTGAGTGTACGATTTTTTTAAGCGAAAGTGTCAAAAGTAATCTGATTAAATATCCTGATTTGTGTGTCAAAAACCGAACCAAACCATCTCGTTTATTATCTGAAAAAATAAAAAAAATTCAGATAAAAAACGAGATTTTTTAACCGAAATTTTTTTTCAGAAAATTTTTTAGGGTTCCGTACCCAAAAGGTAAAAACGGGAACCCTATTACTAAGACTTCGCTATCTATCCGTCTGTCACAAAGATCTATCTTATGAACCGTTATAGCTAGACAGTTGAAATTTTTACAGATAATGTATCTATGTTGCCGCTATAAGAACAAATACTAAAAACAGAATTAAATAAATGTTTATAAATAAAAAAGTACTTACACTAAACATTATCTTTTAAGTAAGAATTTTACATAGAATCTTTCAAGTCCTCGGTGGCCGCGTGGTTAAAGCGCTAGGACTTTACGCTGCTCTGACGTTGGAGCTGTAGTAAGGCAGGTTCGAATCCTAGTCAAGGCGATTTTTTTTTAATCATTTTTTTTTAATTTTTACATATTTATTTTTACTTTTTAAATATTTATTATTGATTAATACAATTTTTAGTAATGTGTTTCTTCATTTTTTTTAAATTACCTACTTATACGCGCATTCAAAATTTCAGCTAAATCGGAAAAAAAGTTTATAAAAATATAGTGTCTAATGTTGTGTAGATAATGAAAGGTACGGAACCCTTCGTGCGCGAGTCCGACTCGCACTGACCAATTTTTTTTTATCTGAACACAATTTATCTGAATTTTTTTTATTAATTTTAATTAAATCAAAATACTCATTTTCTAGTGTATGACGTACATTCCGTCTCATCATACGGTATATTAAATTACGTATGCAAATGACAACACGGCAACTGCAAAAAGCCTTTTACAAATAATAGGTTAAGGTTGGGTAGGTTTCAAGTACCCAACATTTAGACTGTGACTAACAACGTAAATATTCATAACCGCGTAATATATTCTAATGACTTTTTCCAATTTGCGTATGTATTAACATTAAAGGTTTTTAATGGCTAGAAGTGTGCGCACTTAACAAGCGTCTGTCAAAAGCTAAAAAATATATGTATAACTATTTCCTTACGTAAAAGATATAATTAACTATCTATAATAAAATTCGAGTTTTTGCGATAATAAAGAGAGTAAATAATTAGTGAGTGAGTAATTGACTTAAAAATAAATTATTTTAATCTATATTTTTCAAATTAATCTCAATAGTATATGTTTTCCTCAGTTTAATCTGAGATAGTTTTAAATACAAATGAAGCGTACACCTGCCCTTTTCTTAATAATTATATTTTTTTCTGTTTTACACAATTCTGATATTTAAAAATATTTGTTTCTATTTTATCTAAAAATTATCAATAGCTAGAAGAAATGATTTTTTGTCAAATTTGTTATACGGATGACTGATTAACTCCAGATCATTCGGTAGTTATTGCAAACACTATTAGAACTAGGTATTATTAGTTTTAAAAAAAATGTTAGTGTCTTCCTCGTCTTCTTCATAAGCGAATATCTCCAACAAAAATAAAGCTAATTTAGTGATGTGTCGGTATTTGAGTAACGCGATTTTGGAGCGGTATTTTTTTGTAACGTCGTGTCGCGCTCCACAACGAATCAGGAACCTGTTATTGAAGAACGACGATCATAATGACGACAAAATTATAAATTATTTATAATTTGCAAATAAATTATTTATAATCGCTCTTGAAGTTAGCTCGAACCGTAGTAACCGCATAGCGACGTGTTTAGCTCCAGCCGTCGCGGTTTCGTCGGTCGCCAACAGTAATATCTGGAACTGGTATGCCCGTAGCGCCGCGCGATCTCGATCGGGACGTGTTCGCTCCAGCCGTCGCGCTCCTAGAGTTGTAGTTCCCTGTCGCGAACAAAAGTAACTTGTAACTGGGCATCGACGCTCGACCTCGGCGGTATGGTATAGCGATTTTTGGTATGTACTAGGCATGGTATAAAATAGCGTTGTTAGAAAGATGAAACGTAAAAGCCAAATAAAATAAAATAAAAATGTTATTTGCTTTTATACATTTATATAAGTTTTATTGTTTATTGTAACTATTTTTAAGGTCTAATGATGGCTGGAATTGCCGAAACCGGTCACCAATAAAGAATTTTTTTGACAGTGGTTTGGACTTTGTTCTTGATTTTAACATTAAATATATTATGTTGCAATACACACAAATATGAGCCGTTAAAGACAATACGTCATTCCTTGATATTTCTTTAAAAATTAAAATATGATGCTACTTCCCGCAATATAATGAACAAAAGCATTATAGCGACAGGTAATCAATTTCGCACGCAACTAACTATAGTTTAACTAACTTATTTTATTTTTGTATTTCTCAGCATCGAAATTTTTAAAAAATATAGGGCCATTTTCTATAAAGTAAACACCGCTCTCCATAGGCGTTGTATTAAGTTCATTATTTAAGTTCATGGCACGAATGGTTGTAACAGCTGGTACAATTGTAAGAACCTGACAACACTGGTTGGGAGTAGGTAACTAATGCCAGAAATTAATACTGCATAAGCGAGGACCGCGACACTGTGGAAGTCGGAACCTCGATTATAAAATAGCGGTATTTTGTCGCGGTATTTTTCTGGAACGGTCGTTACTGTAACGCGACTCATGTGGAACCGGTATTCCCATCAGTAAAAGCTATTGAGATGAACCAAAAAACGAAATTTTTAAATCCCTTGCTGTCTTAACAAATTCCACAGGGTGTTTCAAACTTTGCAGCAGACCTTGCAGTCGAACATTGTTCTTTTTAGAACCTCTTTTAGTGCGAAGTGGTACAAGAAAGCTTAATAGCCGTAAAAAACTAATCGCAACTTTATTAGAATATTTTGAACGGGAAAGCGGTAGTAATGGCCCTTTATGTCCCTTAAGTGCTGTTAAGGAAGTCAGTTTTGTTGATTTGTTATTTGTAATAAATTTATTTTTGTTTCTTAAAATATTTTGATTAAAAGAAAATATGTAAAATTAGGCAACGCCGTGCTGGTCAAGCTTAATCAAGTGACTAAAAATTTATTTGGTACGAACTATAGTAAC